CGAGCTTGGCGCCTTGTCGACCGCCGGCGATGCCACTGGCCGGCGCCACAGGCGACGCCTCAAGGCTCCCCTCATTGCCGGCGGCCGACACATGCGCCGACGCAGGCCGATCTGCGACGGGGGAGGGAGGAGCAAGAATAGGGGGAGGTGGAAGAACCTCCACAACATCCTCATCAGCAGGCTTGTCGACTTCGGCGAGCAGTGGAACGGTCGCCGTCGAGGTGTCCGTCGGTGGGTGTGCCTGCGTCCGCCCCGATGCCGCCCATACTTCGCCTTCCACACCTCCAGCGACAACGTCTCGTAGAAGATCACCTCGATTTACGTGACCACCTTGTTGTCAGTCAGGTCGAGCACCTCCCAACCCTTGCTCTCCGGCGACACACCCAGGTGAAGCCCCCAGCGAGCTTTCGGCGCCAGCTTCCCACCGCGCCGCTGCTCGGGAATCATGAACTGAACAATGCAGCCCCACACCCGCGCCAGCGTGAGGTCAGGCTTCTTCCCAGTCAGCAGTTGGTAGAGCGTCGTCCCCGGCGGCGTCGTCGACCGCTCCAAGCAGTTGCGCACCCAGACAGCTTGTCGTAGAGTGAGGTGCCACCTATGGTGCTGCACGCCCATGTGCAGCAGCATTGTCCGTACGGACTCGATGGCCGTGCACATCTCCCACTCAGCCATGCTGTTCTGCTGCGGAGTGTAGGGGCACGTCAAGTCGTGGACGATGCCGTTCCCGTTGATGAAGTCGGTGAACGCCTTCCCGAGTAACTCCCCTCCTCGATCAAAGCGGAGCATCAGCACCGTCTTCTTCATCTGCCGCTCGACCAGCACCAGTCACCGTTGGAACTCCCGTAGCACGTCGCTCTTCTTAGCGACCGGCATCACCCACACGAACCGAGTGTAGCGATCCTTCAGCAGCAGGAATTATAAGCTGCCATCCTTGGCAGCCACCCGACATGGCCCGCACAAGTCAATGTGCACGAGAGCCAGCGCCTCCTCTGCGTCCGAGCCCTTGGCGGGGAAGGTGTGTCGCGCCAGCTTTTCTCCGACACATGAGACACACGGCGGGTCTGCTCCGGTTGACGGCGTGATGTCGAGCCCAGTAGCAACTTCATGCTTCGCCGAGCTCTGGATCGTGTTGACACCGACGTGCGCGAGCCTCGCATGCAACCGGTCAGGGGTCGACTTCGTTGCCGAGACGATTGTCTGCAGAGCCACCACCTCGGTCGACGGCGAGCGCGTCGAACAGGGTCGAAGGTCGGTGCAGAAGACTCGTCCGGTGTAGCGTGCTCGACCGAGCACCTACCCGGTCGCGGCGACAAGCAGCATCTCGTCGCCATCGCCCTCCAGCTTCACTCCGCTCTCCTTCAGTTGGCCAGCTGATAGCAGGTTTGCCTGCACGCCCGGAATGTAGAGCACGTCGGGGATGAGGACCTGCTTCCCGGCCTCCCCTTGTAGAGCGACGGTTCCGCAACCCTCGACAGGCTGCAGTGCCCCATTGAATCCACGCACGTGCTTCACTCCGTCGCTCGGCGCCATGTCGACGAAGACCGCCTTCGTCCCCATCAGGTGGTGGGAGCACCCGCTGTCTAGCAGCAGCACCATCGGGTTGGCCTGCATAGCTGCCCCCACCGCCTGGAAGTCCTCGCCAGCCTCCGGTGCCAACGAGACTATCGGCTCCACCACGCCGACCATCGAGCACGACGCCTCCCCGTCGCCTCGGCCCTTGCCGCTAGAGCTGTCGACATCCTTTGTTAACGACGTCTTCCACGACGTCTGCTTCTCCTTACGCGGCTTTGCATCTCGACGGGGACGACGACTGGTCGACCGTCAGCGACCTCCCTTGCTGTCGTCCTCGTCGCTGTCATCGCGGTCGGGGCACTCGAAGGAGAGATGGTCGAGGTCGCCGCAGATCCAGCACTCCCGCCGTCGACCACCACCTCGTCGACCCTTGTCCCACGTCGACCTCTCGTCGACGTCCTTCGTCAACCGCCCACCTCCGCTACCACCTCCGCCCGGCTTCCCGCGCTGCCCTTGCTGCTGATTCAGCTTCGTCGGTGCAGCGTAGTTTGCCTGCGGAAGGAGCTCCGTGGGCTGTTCGGCCTCCTGCATCGCCTCGTCTTGAAGGATGTAGCTGGTGATGGAGTCCTCGTCGAGGGACTCACACGTGCCGGGCACCATCATTATCCTCTTCATGAGGTTGTAGCGACCCGGCAGGGCCTTGACGATATGGGTGATGTAGGACGCCGTCGAGTATTCGGCGCTCGCCATCCGCATGGCAGCTAGGATCCGTCGAGCACGGTTGCACTAGCTCGTCGCCGACTCCTGCTCGCCCATCCGAATGTGTGTCATCTTCTCCTCCAGTTGTCCGATGTACAGGTCGTCCCTGACCTTGTACATCGATAGGATGAAGTGCCATTTGCAGTGACGGTACCAGTTTGTTTTTGACAAAAAAACGTTTCCGATACCCTTTTTGATTACGAGTGGCATATTTTCCTTACAATATAGCTCAGCCGACAAGTGAGTCCGCCCGGCTGAGCTTGCTGCCCGCGGGGAAAAAAAAAACCCCAGACGGGCATGCATCCGGTTAGGGAGGCATCAACCCTAAACACAGGGAGGCATGGATTTGGGGTTGATGCTTCCCTCGGATGGCATGCCATCCGTCGGATGGCATGCCATCCGATAGGGTTTTAGTTTTTTTTTGCCCGTCGGTCAGGTCGACGGTGATCGACGGCCGTCGACCACCGTCGGACCCCGTTGGGTTGAGACATTCCCAAATGTTTCCCCTTTGCTTCCAATTTGATCGGGACTTTTTCTCTGCATGTGTTTGCAATCACCTTTTTTTGTGTGATTTTTCCCTGGTTTTTTTCCAACTCCACCCAGGCAGATTTGAATTCGCCAAAAACCAGGAAGTTTTAAATTCGTCCCCTAGACCAAACAGGCCAGGCTGGGCAACGACCTGGAATTTTGCAGCACCGCCGCCACAAGAACCGGCTGCCGGCTTCTTCGGGTTTCCAACTTTGGCCCGGGCAGCCCGCATTTACTACTATGCGACAGATGGGGCAGCAGCTGCCGTTCAAACAAACGTTCGCTGAAGTGCCTGTCGTCGAATGTTTCCGTACGACGACGGATTCCAACCGCTTGCACACGTGTCTTTTGAGGTGTGGCGTGCTGTATAGTACAAACAACACAACGGATGGATGAGGTGCATGCAAGCCAAGCCAGGTTACATATACATGCATCAGCCAGCTAGGTTGCACCCATACCGACCGAACATACGAGAATCTCACTACCCCAGCCACAAAGAGGCGCAGGTCCTATCCCATCCCATAGGTTTCCACCGCCTTCTTCCCCTCGCAAAGTTCAGCTCAGGGTACATTCTTGGCTCGTGTCTGACATGAGGTCAGACACGAAGTGAAGTTGAGGAAGACCCGAAGTGACCTGGAACTCTGGCAAATCAATGTTCGGAAGACCCGAAGTGGGCCACTTCGGGTCTTCCGAACCTCCATCCAAACCTCCACTTCGTGTCTGACACGAGGTAGGAATGCACCCTCACTCTCATGCAGGGCCAAGGGTGTGAGCTGTTCATCTGGTTGCTTGCATGTGCAAAAGCGGTTGATCAAATCAACCTGGAAGGGCCAAGTACAGCCAGTACCAGCAAACTGTGCTATGCTGGGCCCTCATAAATTTGTGGGCAAACAGATCAGGGTGCGTTTCTATCCCGTGTCAGACACGAAGCCAGACACGAAGTTGAGGTTGGGAAGACCCAAAGGGACTCGGAATGCTGGCAAATTAGGTTCGGAAGACACAAACCGAGTCACTTTGTGTCTTCCGAAGCTTTGACCTGATGTTTGACACGGGATAGAAACGCACCCTCAGACTCCCCGTCCACCAACGTCCCACAACCACGACGCGCTCTCAACCTGCCCGGATTTCGTCCCTCGTATAGTTGGAGTAGGGCAGTCGTAAGAGCGAGCTTAAGAGACCGGACTCGCAGGTGGCGTTGCGGGGCGCTCCAGCCTCGCCGCCTGCCGCCCCACCTGGGCTCTCGCGGCGGACTCGGAGCCTCCAGGGGACCATGGCGCGGCCGCGCGAGTGGCAGGAACAGCGCGCCGCGCTGGCACTCGCGTGGTGCATCGCCGTTCTTGCCACGACTCCCCTCGCCGTGGTTCACTCCCAGCTGATCGAGGCCTCGCAAGGTGAGCGCCGCTCAGTTCGCAGCCATCATGGCGCTGCGGTGGCAATCGTCGTACACAAATGTCACGAAGGGCACCCTTTTTGGTCTAACAACCCCACTTCAAAACACACACCACCACCGGAAACCCTTCCTCCATCAAATTTCCCTCCCCAACTCTCACTCCCACCGCCACTCCCCATTATCATTCTCCCATTATTACCTCTCCGCATTCTCTCTCCACCAACTGGCAGTGGTATTCCTGCAGGATTGCCAGAGCATATGGGGTCAGACGTTGCCTGGGTGGAATGGTACCAGGCTCAACTGCAAGGCTGCAACGGGCATCGACTGCGATAGGAACGGGATGATCACCCAGATGTGAGATTCGATCTACGATGACTGCCTGCCACAGTGTGAGACCTGTGCTGGGAATGGCTCTTCAGAGCCACGGTGCCAATGCAGTGACAGTCTAGTGCCCTCGGGTCACCACGTGGGTCCGGACTTTGTCTAGCGCCACCTGCAGTGCAGAGCCACTCTTTCACTGCAAGGCCCTGGTGGCTGATGGAAAGGACGTGTGGCGCCATGTTTTCGGTGCAATTTATTTGCAGAAAATTCCAAGGCGGCCTTAGAAGAGGAGGGCGCCTTCCGAGCTCCATCTCCAACCTCCGCGAACTCACTGTCCTGTACGTCGGACGTCCCCGTGCTCTCTTGCAACGGTCGAATCGCATCCTGCGCGCAGGGTGGAGAGAAGGTACGAGTGGTGAAATGGCGATGAGACAGAAATGATAGTGTGGAGAGTACGTTTGAGGAGTAGATAGAAAAGAATTAAGGTCTAATGTTGGAGACAAGGTTCGAGGACTGGAAATGTGTGGAGAGAAGGTTTGAGGAGTGGAAATGGTGGAGAAGGAAGGAACGTGGGAAGGGCGAGTGGAGGTGAGCTGGGCGAGGGCAAGAGAGTGGTGAGTAGACGGTAGGAGGGAGAGGCGTCAGCTGTGGGAGGTGTGCAGTGCAGCATGTGAGGCCGGGGAGTTGCGAGCTGGGCAGCAGGTAGCATGATGAACTACGAAGATTCGAGCATGAGATGTGCGAGATAGGTGACAGATCTCTCCATCAGAGTTAGTGCTGCCATCACTGTAAGGTATTATTAAGCAGTTACGTCGCGATCTTTGAAATTAAGCTCGTGTCTCACGTACATACCCCCTCAGCTGTCCTTTGCTTGTCCCTATTCCTTCCTGTCATCTTCTATACTCCTTACTTTGCTCCTACCTTCGCCTCTCTCTCGTCCCACCTTGTCTCCGCCTCTCCCGATACTCACATTGTTCCCTTCCACTCTGTCTATGCATAGCACACCTTAGAGCGGGCGAATAAAACCTTGTGTCTTACTTCTGCCAACGTTGCCTCATTGCGTCTGTGTTCATTTCTCAATAATGACCACCAATGTAGTTTCCCCACCTGCCCCATGCCATGAAAACCCAAACCCTCTGCCTTATTTCCTTGTTATTCACTTTATCAGATCTATTCGGTCCGCTAAGCTCAGTGGCACGATTCCTCCCGAAGTTTACAGACTCACAAAACTGAGGCTCCTGTAAGGCCCCACGTTAGCGCTTATATTTTCCCCTTGCCATTTGCTTTTCCCCCGTTGTTTCTTTGTGCTAGTCTTTTCCAGGCCACTCCACTCAAATTCACCTCCATTTGTCTACTCTCATCTCCATTGCAACCACCTTGTAGTTTTCGAGAGATTGGAAGGATTGTACTTTTCATAAAACCGGTGTGTGTCCTTCGTGCTGATAGGGTGGAATGGACAGGAGTTATCTGTCAGATTTGAGAAGTTCTAAGTTTCATTATGAGGGATCTAGTTCTCACAAATTATTCGCAAGACATATTAGGGGCCACTGGTCACCTCACCCTCCTGTTATGTTTTGTAAAAATAAAAACATGCAATCTGGGTATGGACGTAGCACAGGGTCGCACAAGTGCCGTGTACCAGGGCAGACCCCACAATTGGCAGCAGAAGAGTGAAAATGGCTGTCACAGTCTACATATGCACGTAGGTGTGCTGCATGTGCATGCCATCCTGGAGGTCGCATTGTCGCATGCATAGGCTCCTATATGCTGCTCGTTTCCATGCAACCCCTCGACCTCAGTGTGTGTACCATATGCCCGTATGTGTTCACCTGTCACAGGGACCTTGCAGTGAATCGCTTCAGTGGCTCAATCCCAACTGCGGTCGGCAATCTTACCAACCTGTGTTACTTGTAAGGCCTCGTGTAAGGCCACTCCTTGGTTGGTTGTGCTCTCCCTTGTCCGCCTCTCCTCTCCTCCCCTTCGCCTCCTCTTGATGCTATTCCACACCAATGCTCTCCATAGACCCTTCCTTTGTTTCATCCCCTTGCATCAGGTCCACATACCACCACCCTCTTCTTTTCTGTATGTATTTTGTGTGCTTTGTATATATAGTGCATACGCAATGATGAGATACTACCAGCCAGGAAGTGGCAAGCGAGTAAAACTTTCGTTAACTTGGTTGCCTAAATTCGCCGTGTGCCCAGCAAGTATTTTCCTACCTGTTTCGTGACAAGGAACGCTCTCCTCAAGCGTAGGCCGAACCAGGGTCGGCCTGACCTGAACCTTGTCAGGCGACCAGTATGGAGGGTTGGGTTCGGGTTGGTTTCAGGTGGTGTCGTCCGATCTAGACCGGGCCAGAGCAGCTCATGTCTGGCCGCCCCACATCCGACCCGCTTAGGCTGTCGGATCTGTCATTTCACCAACCATTGCACGCTGGACAGGCAGACATATTACCCCCCATCATGAGACGACGCCCCCACCCCCACCTTGCCACGAGCTGGCCACTGAACGTACCTGGCACACCTATCCACTGGTCGTTTCATGCAAGCTTCAGTCGAGCTTCCCATGTCTATCGCACGCCCTTTCACGTTTGTGGTTGCAGGTCTTTCTTGCGCAATCAGCTAACTGGCTCGATCCCCGATGCCATCAACGATCTTTCCTACCTGCGATACCTGTACGGCCTCCTGCAAGCCCGTTGCTTTGTTGTGCCCTTCTTTGTGCGCCTCCCCTTGATGCTAGTACGCACTCTCCATCGACTCCATTGGTCAATTTTCCACTTCATTCTCTTGTAAGGTCCATCTACCGCCACTGCATACTCTCGTTGCTCATCCTCTTCCTTTTGTGTTAATCGTTTCGTTGCAGGGCTCTCGATAACAATCAGCTCAATGGTTCGATTCCAGCTGTAATGAGCAATCTTAAGGGGCTCACAACATTGTAAGGCCTTGTGCAACGCCGTTTCTTGGTTGTATGCGGCTCTCCTTCATGTGTCTCTCCCCCATCATTTCTCCTCCTATTGATGCTAGTCTGCTCTGCACCCATGCCCCCCTTCTTTCGAGCTTCTCATGTCATACCAACTGATCACCACCCTCTCGAGTGCACAAGCCAGCACATCCAAGTTGTGTGGTTTGCTTGTGTTTGGCTTGTGTTCGGCTTGTGGTTGGCTTGTCATAAGCCAAAGGTGAGAAACAAAAGAAGCCAGGCTCGTCCTGACAGACGAATCAGCTCCTATGGCCGGCCGTAGGCCGGGCTATATGCTCGTATCTACTGTTTTGTCAAACCCCCAACGGACGATTGATAACAAACGGTGATTCTACTCTGCTGGGTCGGATACCCTCTCCTCTGAACTTGCTTTTGGAGATACTCATTCTGAATATATGGCCACTACAGTTGAGTGCTACATATGCAGATTCTTTCGAACAAATGAGCTCCCCATGTATGTCCACCTACCATGTGGTCGTTTGCATTTGTCGTTGCAGATCTCTCTGGCGCAACCAGCTGGCTGGCTCAATCCCAGATGCTATCTACGACCTTTCAGTACTGCAAACCCTGTCTGTACAGCCCTCTGCAAGGCCGTTGCTTTGTAGTGCTCTTCCTTCTGAGCCTGTCTTTTCCACCTTTTCTCCTCTTGATGCCTGTCCATGCCCATGCTCCACAGTCCATTTCTTGCACTTCAGCTTCATCCTCTTGTATCAACCCCTACCACCGCGCACATGCACATGTGTGTTCACTTTTGCAGACTTCTTGATAGAAATCAACTCACTGCCTCAATTCCTGCTGCAATCAGCAACCTTAAAAGTCTCACAAAGCTGTAAACTCCTCCTGCAAGGCTGTAAGACCTCCTTTTTGGGTCCGCGCTATTTGAAAGTTGGGGTTCATTTCATGAGGCCGACTTAAAAAATGCTGGAACGGACCACCCTTTAAGTCGGGCCGGGCTGGCCCTCGGCCCGACCCTATACAACAACTTGTACAACCTGGGCGTTGGAACGGAGTTGTGGACTTGTGGTAATCTACGAGGTCCAGCGTAGTTTCATCCTCATACAGGTAACAGCCCAATTTGCCATCTCTGGAAATTGGGCCAGATAAATAACTAGTTTGTACCAGATTGGTCATTGCAGGGCTGTTCAAACCAAACTGAACTGGTTCGGCCCGAGCTGTTGGCTGTTGGACCATTAGTCGAACCTCCAACTGGCAAGTTCCACAGCTGGTTAAGCCCAAACCAGATTTGGTTCAGTTTAACTATCACACTGGTTAGGATATTTAACCCGAATCGGTACAGGTACAGTTTGTCCTCAGTTCTAGATGTTTAGGTAAACATATAGAGCGAAGCGAATCTGACACGTCTCTCTCATGCTGGCCTCTGTTTGCTGGTTGAGAACGAAGAGTGGTACCATTCTGTTCATGTAGACTTGTTGGCATCATAGGTCGCCCACAGTTGAATGCTGCATACACGTGAAGATGGTTTTGGATGTTTCATGCACAAGCTCCTCCTATGCTACTCATTCCCAGACGAAATAAACCTCAACCAGTATCCGTCACATTCCCGTTTACGTATATCATTGCAGATCTCTCTCGCGCAATCAGCTGACAGGCTCAATCCCGAATGAACTATACGAGCTGACGAACCTGCGAAAGCTGTACGGCTTTCTGCAAGGCTCTATTTCCGTGCACATCTCTTCTCTCCACCACTTCTCTCAATGCTAGCCCACACCCATTCGATCTCTAATCCATTCGAAGTACTGACTGACCTAGTCCCAGCCATTTTGGGCTCCGCTTTGATTACCTGACCAGTTGGACTCAGGTCTGGGTGAACTGTGGACTGTTTAGACTGGTTCGGCCTGAACCAAACCAGTCCAGTTGGAGTATACTCGCCGGTTCGACCTGGTTAGTTCGACCTGAACCGGTGAAAGTTTGGGTTTCTCTCATTCCTGCAGTGTGCTTCTGTGCTCTTCGTACTATGGTTGGCACACCAATGCGGTTGGCCAATCTCTGCTGTTTTATCTTCTCCCGTGCAAACTTGAACTCTGCCATATGCATTGCATACGTGCTTCTTGCTTCTAATTTTCTTCACAGATATCTCACGTTGAATAAGCTCACTGGCTCAATCTCTTCTGCAATCAGCAATCTTGCAGAACTGGTGGAGCTGTAAGTCCCCCCTTTGGTTTGTTTGTGCCCTTTGTTCCTTCCTTCCTCTCCAGTCTTTCTCATGCTAACCACCCCGCCCCCATTCCAACCCCTTCCACTATAATGCTCTCCTCTTCAAAGCAATTCCCACCTCCTCTATCACAGTGACCGGGAGGGTGCTGGTAGGGTGCACGGGAGTGGATTGGATAGGATCAACTAAATATTATCTTGGCGGATTCAAGCCATTAGCGATGATGGACTTGACGCCCGAGACAAAATGTCTGCATTGCGGGCGTTCTTGTGAGGTTCACCTTGTTGCTGGGGGGCTCTTGTAATTCCTGTTTGTGCACCACAACCAAGGGAGCTGGCTTTGACATGGATATGTATTACAGGCCTTTGGCTGTGGATCAGCTGTTGCATCTAGCACAGGATGGCACAAATCCCAATTTCAAAGGCAGACCTCACAGCAGCCGGCAGAAGAGAGTGAATCCAAGGAGCGCAGTAGATGAAATCGATGACAATCCACCAGATCCACGACAATCTTGTCTGGTGTTTCATAAAAGCACTTGCCGTCAAGTCATTGAGCTGGCGAGCAGCGCGCCAGTGTGTTGAGTCAACTTGTTGCATGCGAGCTGGTGAGCCAACGTCGGCTCGTCTGGTCTTGGGACGATCCAGCTGCACTGAACCCCCGAATTGCTTCGTTTGTTATCGTTTTGACAAGTCGAGCTGACGAGCCAAGCCGCCAGCTCAATCTTGTGCTCATGCCTCCATTCCATCCAACACAGCATGAGGTGCTGAGGGACATGGGATGGGATGACCCTGGCCATGCCCAACCGTTCATTTTTCATTGCACTCGTTTCTTCTGCAGGGCTTCAGAAGCATTTTTCACCCTGGCCTGCTGAACGTGTTTGCATGTGGGTTAATCCCTGACATCTTCGTTTGTGGCACTGCATGGCAGCTTTTTGGATCAGAACGAGCTGGAAGGCAGCCTGCCAGCAACGATTACTGCACTTGCATCGCTGGATCAGCTGTAAGGCGTGCGAACCCCAAGCCTCCCACCTTATCCATCCTTCCTTTGTATCTTCTTCCTTTTCCATTCCAATAGCAACCCATGCTCGTGTAATGTGCTTTAAGTTCCCATCACACAGTGATTCTTCTTCAGCAAGTGGCAACCATTGCGTATGTGCACGTACATTTGCTGCATGTACGTACCTGCGCTGGCTGCATTGCATGTACCTACGCTGGCTGCATTGCATGTACCTGCGCTGGCTGCATTGCATGTACCTGCGCTGGCTGCATTGCATGTACCTGCGCTGGCTGCATTGCATGTACCTGCGCTGGCTGCATGTACCATTGTGCAGAACCCTTGCCGTGAACAGCCTCACAGGAATGATCCCTTCATCAATCAGCAACCTTTTCGCTCTTCGATATTTGTGAGTTGTTGTGGCAGCGGTGAGATGCCTTCTGCAGGCGCATGTTCCCATCCCACATGTCGCCTTCGTGCCACCACATCACCCCTCTATCTACATCTATGCAGCTTCCATGGCAGTCTTCGTTTTTTTAACAACATGGGCCCACCACAGATGTGTTGATCACGTTTCCAACATCCCACAGTGCGCAGAATAGAACTTTGGTCCGGTTTGTGTCAAGCGAATCTGGAACCTGCTGAAAGAGTGACCAGTTCAAAACGAACCGGTTCTGTTTGGCATCGAACAATTTTGGTCCGAACCTTCAAAATAAATTAAACGAACCACTTCGGTTCAGATTTTGTTCATGGTTTCCGCACGAATCCTTATGGTCTTCGTTTCAATGCCGCAAACATCCTTGGTTTTCAGCAAGGATGATCTTATTTATTACACCTTCTTGCTTGAGAATTCTGTGACTTGCAAAAAAACCGTACTGCGCTTTCAACGCCGCACGAACCCTTGATTTGCAGCATTGCATTTTATCTCGAAGCTTCTCTGAAACAATTGTCTCTTTGCGTGTACAGGGAGTTGGAGAAAAATCGCTTTAGCGGAACGATACCTCATACAATTGGCAGGCTGGGAAATTTGACCTTCCTGTAAGTTGACACACCTTCCCATCCCACTAAAATCAGAACAGCCGTAACAAGGCTGCAAGAAACATGCCTGAGCACCTGAAGAGTAGTCAATCTACGGGAGGGAAGAATCAGCTGGCTGGACCCCGTTCAACCGTAAGTATGGCCACTGGGTGATGCTGGTCATCGTAGAACAACGTTGCAGCTCGTCAACCCACAGTTAGTAATTCCAGGTTGCTCAGCTCTCCCACGCGTCGCATTCATGCACGCGCATGGCGAGCCACGCGAGCCACGTGGGCTCTAGTCAAAAGCAATATTTCTGTGGCTCGGCTCGTTGCAAATGCTAGCCAAGCCGCGGCTCAGACTCTTCCTGAGTCCAGCCATGCATCCCTCTTGGCACTCGTCCTTCTTCATTCATGCCCATCAGGTCACTGGCCTACAAACCAGGTCTATGGAAGTTTACCTGCCAGTCTCAACAATCTGACAGGACTGCAGACCCTGTACGATGCACCACTGGGGTTTGCAAAACACTGTTGTTGTACTGTCATGACGCTCTCACATCCGCACCGCACTTCCACCCTTGCTCCTACTTTCTTTTTTCTCTCACCCTTGCTATACTCTTCCACATGCTTGTCCACTCTGCACTCTCAATCACCACACCACCCTGTATCCGACTGAGGTAGAGCGATTCAGAACGATGGCAGCTCATGGTAGCATCGTGCAGGCAGCTGCTTGTGCCAGCCAGCCATTCCATGTGCTAACAACCTGAATAATGCTGTTCTTTCTTTGTCATATTGCCATCAAGAGATGCTTCAAGATATAGGCAGTTCAATGCAACCAAAGATTCCGACTGCTTCCATCTCCCCTCCTGCTCCACTTCCCACAGCCTCTCTTTCGTCTCCCCTGCACCTCTCGTCTTCGTCCTGCTCCCTCAAACGGTCTTTCCTCCTGCACCCGCATTCCTTTCTGCTCGAAGCCAAGTTTCGCCCATCACCTCGTATCAATCACATGTATCCAGTTGTTTCTTACACCCGTATGATATCCCCTGCCTTTGATTGCTACCCCACCCCATCGTGCACACCCTTTACTTCTCTCCCTCCCACGTGCAGTGATCTCTCACACAACTACATCACAGGGCCCCTTGTAACTCTCCCACCTATCGAAGCAGATCTGTCCAGCAACTACCTGTCGGGGCTTGTGCCCGGACCAGACTGCCTTCGGCACAGCATCACCGCCAACTGCTTTGCGCAGAACAAAGCCTGCCGCCCTCCCCTGCAGCGCCCCCCAGCACAGTGCACGGCGTTCTGTGGCATCTCCTCGACCACTGCTGCCTGTGGCAGTCGTGGCGTGTGCTACCCAGACGGGCCCAGCTTGGTGCCAACTTGCTTGTGTGGTGCGGGATTTGTGCAGCTTGGACGAAGTGACTGTGTTCCTCCAGGTAATAAGTACCCTTTTTTCCATAATAGAGTTTAGCATAATACCAAACCTCAGTGCGGCTCGGCCGAATCTACTTCCAACACAACGTTTCGCACAGTTTCGACCATGTATGACGACCATCAATCTCCTGGTTCCTCGGTTTCTGTGCAGTGCGAGTAATTGTCTGATTCGACTCGGTTTGTCTTCAACCGTTTCAACCAACATTATACGGATGTCACGCTCGTTGTCTTCTTCATACCAATACTGTCTGTGAATACACATTGATCACCCACGCCTCTGCTTCACTAACGTATACATGGACAAATGACGAGTCGAGTTTCGCTCGACTCGTTTAACAAGGCTCGAGTGGTTATTATTTCGAGTTTTCTAACCACCAATGCTTCATCACTCCGTCCGTTCCCCATGTTCTGCTGCACCTCCCTCGCTACTCCCCAGGGCCCCCAATGAACATTCTCCCTCCATTCACTGTCCTCACCAAGGGCACGCAGCAGGAGACCTTGGGGAGGTTCTTGGCCAAGCCAGTGACCCTGTTTCTGTACCCGCCTGGTGTGACCTCGGGATGCGGCGTGGAGTTGCCCTTCAGTGTCAACTTCACCTTTGCTCTCATGCCGCAGTCTAGCACAGCTGGATCAAACGGCTTTGCACTTGTCATCGCAGCAAAGCCCAAGGCGGGGAAGCCTGGTGGTGTGGGGTACAGTGGATTGGGGTCTCAGAGCATGGCCGTGGTATTCGACACGCTACAGGATAATGCGGGAGAGCAGCACGTGGGGCTGTGCATCAACGGCACAGAGGAGTGTTTGGTCAAGGAGGTGTCACCATTCACTCTCACAGACGGCGACTCATACAAGGCATGGGTGGACTACGAGCCTGGGGATCCCGGCACCATTCAAGTGTTCCTGGCGGATTCAAAGACGAAGCCAGAGGCGCCGCTGCTGCAGGGGAGGGTGTCGCTGTGTGCGGTGCTGCAGCCGGGAGTGAAGCAGCCGGCGTTCTCGTTTGGATTCGTGGCGTCCACCACTGTGAGGCCCTTCCAGCTGCAAGGCATTACCTCCTCTGCTGTGCAAACAGGCAAGCATATGTCTGTCCGGTGGGGTGATTAATGGGGATGATGGCCAAGAAAAGGTGGGGGTGGTGTGGTAGTGGTGTTCTGGTGATTCTGATGGCAGTGGTTGAACGTTGAACAATACAGGTAGGGTAACTTCATGGACCTTGGCCACTGCCACAATCTACTGGGCTGGTGTGCTGTCTTTCTGGGCAATGCTGCTCTTGTTACCGCGCATGGCTAGGGCAGACTGGTGATGGTTAGTGAGCGTGATCCTGCCATTGTGACCTGTATGAGATGTGATTGAAGAATCAACTAGCACATAATGGCTGTCTTTCTGGCTGCTGTGCGTCTTCTTCCTCTTGTGCATCTCTCTGCAGGCATTCCTAAACCCAAGGTAGTCCAGATGAAAGATCAAGGTGAGCTCTTCGTGATTTCACGGCCATAAGTTGAAAGGGCATTACGTGGCCTGGCACTACCAGACTGACTAAGTAGTCCTAAGGGTGACTTTGGCACCACAGTCTGGTTGCCTGGCATCGACAAGTTCTCAAGTCTTTCATTCTGAAAATGCTGGAATTTCCAAACATGGTCTGGACCACCAGACGTTACTGGGGTGTTCCACATAAGTCCAAACATGGACTTACCACGCCATGCCATCGTTGTCCGATGTTAGTGAGCAAGCAACATGCAGAACCAACATCGCATGATCCTATTTAGCAACCACTGTTTTGTTCGCTTGGGGAGTGTGAGAGGGGCTGTGGGATGCAAGAGAGTAACCTCGATGGTATCTGCCACCTCGGCTGCGTCCACCTCCATTGCAGCGTTGGTCTATTTGTGGCAGTGTTTGCCTGCTTTGTGTATTAGACACCATGCTCGCTTTTGGTGGCACCATGCTGCTCGCTCGCTGCCTGCTTTGACTATTAGACAGATCCATAGCTGGATTTTCTCGTCAGACCTCTCAAAAGTTGCTCGCTACCCGCTTTAAATTTTAGACAGATCCATGGCTGACTTCTTGAGGAGTTGGAGGTCAGAGATTCCAAAGGATTCCAGATCGCCATGCTTCATCGAACTTCTTGGAGGCCCCCTCATGTGTGGCCCAGCTGGTGCCGTGACATTGCAAATGCAGTCCATTCCCTGCCTCTGCCAACTACTCCCCGTCAGCATTCCCCTTTCTGTCCACCCCTTCCTGCCCCTCACAGCCCTCGGCCTCTCATTGTCAGAGGCCACATTTGCACCGTCTCGAGGCAGTCCCTTTTCACGCTACGTGAGTTCGGATTTCGAACTCTCAACCACCAAGAAGGATGCGTGGAGGCTTCGTGACTTCCACACGTGGGACTCGGTATCCTTCCTCGGCTGGCCTGTCAAGAACCAGGAAGGCTGCAGTAAGTAGAAAACAGGGTTGCGAGTTTCCAGTTCAGATTCTTGCACACCTTTCTGCTATACTTCCCCCTCTTCCTGTCATTCCAGGTAAGAATGAGTAGATAATCGCCTCTTATTTTGTTTTTGTCCTCTCCACACTCCTCCTCAGATGCGTGCTGGGCGTATGCGGTGGTGGCGAGTGTGGAGGCGGCATACGGCATTGCAAAGCAGCAGAGCGCTCCTCGGCTGGCAGTGGAGGCGCTCTTTGCCCTCATGGGGCTCTCCGACTCCGACAAGTGCTCCGCTGGCGGCTCCCCCACCCAGGCCTTTGAGACGCTCACAGCTCTCGATGCCACCCGTGGGCTCACAGGGGCTAGCGACCCGGTAGGGCAAACAAAATATGCCATGACATACAGGATTGAGGAGCAGAGCAGTAATGCCTTAGAAGCATCTCACTTCGGAAACTAGGCAATTTTTTCCAGAGCAGCAGAACTTAGTGTTTTGTCAGTGTTTTTGCCTGTGCTAAGGTGGAGATGTTTTCTTTATTTTATCCTTTACTCTTGATTCTTTGCTCTTTCTGAGCTCCCCTTCCCCCTTCTCCAATACCCTACGCCCCAACGCCTCTATTTTTCCTTCCTACATGATGCTTGTGGTCCCAGGCGACAACGTATCCGGTGCAGTCGTTTGAGCGAGCGCAGTTCAAGGGGTATGTGGGGCTCATGATGGCAGTGCAGAACCAGCCAGTGGTGGTTCACATCCAGGCGTCTGCTGCCACGTTCATGCTGTACGACGGGGTGAGTGAGTCATTGCAGTCCTCACTCAGCGTACCGTCGTGCTGTCACCTTGTGAATGGTCAACACAGGGCTGGCACAAGTAGAGGACTGCCAACATGTTGGATCAAATAACAGATATTCAGGATGCTTTTTTATAAACCTATTATATTCTTCTATACCAGCTTCATACCTGACGAAAGTTCTTGCACTCCCCTGCTCTTTTCATGGACGATTTTCCCTCATCTCACTTTCAGACATATAAGTACCAGGATCCTGGTTGCTTCACGGGCAGTCTCAACCATGTTGTGCTCGTTATTGGGTACTTCATTACAAGGAATGATGGCAGCCAGAACCGCATTGCTCCTCCGTTTTGGATCATCCGCAACTCGTGGGGAGAGGATTGGGGAGACAAGGGTCACATGCGCATGGACATTCAGGGAGGGGATGGCGTGTGTGGAATCAACGTGCTGCCTGGCATCTACCCCATTGTCAAGAGTGAGGCACCGACCCCAAAGTTATCGAGGTGATGGATGGAAGTGAGAAATATAAGGCACATTATAAGCTTGCTCGAAGAACTAGAGAGCATACGAAGCAAGGTGAGAAGGAAGAGAATATGGAGAGGAAGGGCAAACTTTGTGACGTGAAGGCCACCAGAAGTGTGGCCCCATGACCAATGGTCACAAATGTAGTTGGGTTGGGGTGAGCAATACACAAAGTTAAGGCGCGTTAGAGTATATGGTAGCATGCTAGGCTTTTGTGACTGAGCACCAAACGTACAATCGAGTTGGCCATGTACCCCAATTTGGGTGTACATATGTGTTGGGGTGCCAATCCACCCTTTTGTGGTGGAGCCCTCAACACAAGCAATGTGGTGATTGGTGGTCCCTCCACATTTGTCCCAACCTTGTGATTGCGTCACCCAAACACATTGTGGAACCTACTGTGATTGACCACCCCAATATGCCCCCAACCACCTCCTTCCCTTCCATCTCTCTCTTGCATCCTATGTATACCCCTTCCTTAATAAGATCACTTTCTTGCTTTCTCATAACATGATTCTGTTCATTTACCGTTTTACAACCATGTAGAGACGAGCAAAAATTGAACACGGAATGGGCCGGGTCGAACTCGCCTCCAGATTGATTGAACCGGTTTATGTGGAGTTCAGGTTCAAGGTTCGACCCTTGTACTCGAATCTTCAGCCATTGGGCTCAATAAGGGGGAATCACGCAGTTTCATGGTTTAGGTTCGGTATAATACGACTCGGAACACCTAGTTGAACCGAACCGAACCAGTTCGACCCGAACCAGTGCAGGTTCGAGTCAGAAGTTTTCGGTACAATACGACTCGGAACACCTAGTTGAACCGAACCGAACCAGTTCGACCCGAACCAGTGCAGATTCGAGTCAGAAGTTTTTAACAGAAAGAAGTTTGGTCTTAGTATACACGAACCAGTTCAACTGACCGAACTTCAGTTTGGTGTTTGCTCATGTCTACAAACAGCTACAATTGTGGTACCGTCAATCCACAACTGTTTGTTGGGCTCTGCGCCAATGGTCCTGTTGGCACCCCAACACAAGTGTGTACCCAAGAACGTATGCGTTCAACAAGAGTACATCCACACATGTACACTACTAAGCTAACAATCTTCAAGATATTATAGGCATTGGACGATGGCTCTGCAGGTGTGCATTGACTGTACTTAAATTGACCTATTCGCTCCGTAAACGGCTGCGCGTCTGCACTTCACCTGTTGGAAAGGCCATGGGCCATCTCCTTCTAGCAGCGAGGCGTGGTCAAAGGTGTGACCCGGCCACACTTTGAGCGAACCAGCAGCACTCCTTAGTCAAGTGTATGCATGGACATAATAATGAACCCCGGTTGCAACACACGACAACTGTGGTCAAACATTTGCTCATACATGGGCCGACCACTGGGTAATCTCTTTCATCCTCATTGTAATTACACGTGTTTCATGTGTACCCTCTCCTCTATGCCACTTGCCAGTTCCAGGGGACCCCTGCGGTCAAAGCAGCTACCAGGGAGATCGACCGCAGCCCGTCATGAACCCATGCGGCCGGTTTCAGTGCAGCGTGACTGCAGAGAGCACCAATAACTGCACCTGCAACATTCCTACCGCTATTGTGCAGCCTTTTGTACAGATCGAGAACGGAGATGGCTTCACCACATGTGCTTATGGTTAGTTACGTTGAGTGGCAAGTGAAACAATGGTTTTGCAACACTGATTCCACACTGAATTATGCCCAGCATTATATGGCTTCCACACTCTCAAGCAGTCTTTCTAAGTAGGTCAGGCAGAAAACGCAGAGTCACAACCACCAGGTGAGTCTCAGGGTATCTCACCAATGTTGCTGATGCTTTCTTGACCCCCTTTTCACCCTCCACCTTCTCTTCGTATCCGCCCTTTCTCCCCATAGTTCCACACTCTTCACGGCTATCTCCCTCTTGTATCCTAAAATCTGCTTGTTTTTCTGGATATCTTCACTTTCTTCTTCCCGTCTCTGTCTTCTCGTCCCCCTGTTTGTCACACTGTCTCCATTGTCTGTACTATCTGCCACCTGATACACGTGTGGCAGTGGACGTGTGTGGGTCATACTTCAAGAACCCCTGCTATGTGGGAGCATGCATCAACGATGGCAAGGGCGCCTACTCCTGCATCTGCCCTCCCAACCACGTGGAAAGCAAAACAATCTACGGCTTCCCAACGTGCGATCCAGGTGATGCTAGGGCAGCCGAAGCACATGGCTGCTATTATGCCTGTCGGTCTTGTTTGAAATTGCTCGCACATTGTGGTTGTGTTGTGCCATGATGAACTTGCAGCAATGCATGATCTTCACTGTATCCCAAGTAGGATAGCATCATCTCCTATTTCTCTCAACTTTCTTGAACCTTTCAATCAACTCCCTCTTCCTTTCCTTGCCTCTATCTCACTCCCCATTCTGCCTGCAGCTAACACCACGGCCACCACAATGACAGTCAGTGGAGACAACTGGAGGTGCTCCGATGTTCATCCGCTTGTTGGCCTCTCACTCACTGACTTCACTGACCAAAATATAGTGGGTGAAGAGGTGGTGGTATATATGAGCCTTCATTCAGCTTTTGGATTTGGTTTACAAACCTTCATCCGACACTGGGGCTGAACTTTCCAAACCACCTGGTTCTCACATCATTTCACGCATTGGATCTCGTTTCGGTTAGACATCCTTTCACCCTTGCACCTTTCAACCTTACAGCATTCTCGCTTCCATTTGGTACTCTCAGCTCTTTCATTGACAGGAAGAATCCTACAATACTGCACTGGGTACTAAGGTGTAACAACCTTACCCCATGACCCATCGAGAACAGTGTGGAGTGTGGCACGAACCTCACATTATACATGTGTGTCCCAATGCAGGGCATCGACTGCAGCCAGCCATTGCCCAAAGGCAGTGTCCTTCAGCTGGATGGTACTCCTGCCACACCCTGCACTGCCTTCTTCTACTCCCTCAGTGTGAGGCCTTCTGCTCTCTTGACTCCAACACAGTATGCACTCAACCAACGCACCTAGTTAACTCAGCACATTGCAACATTCTTGATGCCAGTGAGCAAGCAGCAAGCAACAAGCATTCCTATCCCTGCCTCTATCCAACCTTCCAGGGGGACACCTGTGCATCCGTCAGCTCCGCTCTCAACTTCACCGAAGTTGATCTCACCACACTCAACCCCGGCCTTGACTGCTCCATGCCCATCAAGGCGGGCCGCTCTGTGTGCCTTGAGCGCAGTGCTGCCTTCGCCTTCACCATTGCTGAGTGTGTGAGATACGGCACGCTCACACCTCAAGACACATGCGAGCAGCTGCTTCAAAGAATTGGCAAGAGCACGTCCTCCTCGGAAGAGGACTCTGATGGCACTGCACAAGGGGGTGCCAGTGAGAATGCATGGGCTGCGCTGTACCGCAACAATCCCGGCCTCACTTGCTCCAACACCATCCCTTCCTCAGCCTACGCGACGGGAAGCAAGATTGGCGTACAGGTGAGGGCTGTGAGTAGGAGGAGAGGGTGTGGGGGGGAAGAGCGCAAGGTGGGTGTCTGGAAAGGGGAATGAATGAGGTAGGGAGGGGAGAGCAAGAGCTGGCTGCGAGATCTTTTGTGGCAGTGGAGTGGGCTTGCTGCCATTTCCATGCAAATCTTCAGCAAGGGTGCGTGTGCCTTGTCGCTCTTGCCTTGTCACATTGGTTGTCTCCTATGTATTCAAACTGCACGCACCTCCTTCACATGCATCTTGGTTATCCCAGATCTGCCTAAGTGCGGAGTATTGGTCATTCCAGTTGGGCATGTGCACAAAGGGGAGGGCCAAGCGAGTAGCAAGAACATTGACATGTTCAGGTGCTTACCGCTTCTATGGCGAAGGAGCAACTGCTAGTGCGGCATTTACAGACTACAATGGTAAAGCTTGCGCTGGAACAGTAGGAGGAAAGACTATTTGTGTACCATAAAATGATTTATCATTGCTATTCCATAATATCTCTTGCCATCAGTATGTTGTATTCATTATGTGTCTGCTTCCAGCAGGACAAGGGTGAGGACATACTGAATATTCAGGGAATTTGGAACGTTCACCCTATGTTCCCTGTGAAAAAATTGTTTCTTGTGACACCTAAAATCTGCGTGGCTAGTCTAAGTTATTTCATTTTACCGAACCCAGGCACACCGGACCAGGCCAAAACAAAACAAAAAAGAGGCCGCCAGATGGGGCTAATTGAGTCTAGACCTCGCCAGCAACCAGGCCCCTTGCCAACCAGACCAGGCCAGTGCAGGGAATATCATAATACACGACAGCCATACCATGCAAGACAGACCAGCGACTGGTCGAGGTCGGCGACGGTGATGACAACGTGCAGCAGTAGGTGCCATGCCCTCTTGCATGGCTGGTGCGGTGACCGGCGTGCTGTATGTTGTGTGCACGCCGACAGGCTATCTCCGAGTAGTGTTGTCGTGTAGGCTGGAGGCCCAAGCGTGAACGCAGCAGGGGAGTGTCAACGGGAGTTGTGTGTTGGCCATGTCATCGCTTGGGCAGAGCCGACTTCGTTGTCGGGTGTGCGGGGAGCGCAGCCGACCTGCTGCAGTGGGAAACGTCGTCCTGGGCGCCTGGACGCCGACCTGGATGTCTGGACGACATCCTGGGCGTATGGACGGCGTCCTGGGCGCCTGGACGCCGACCTGGGCGTCTGGACAGCGTCCTGGGCTCCTGTACGCCGATATGGGCATCTGGACGACGTCCTGGGCACCTGGACGCAGACCTGGGCGTCTGGACGGCGTCCTGGGCGCCTGGACGCCGACCTGGTTGCCCGGTCGACGCAGTTACCCAGGCGACGGGTGCTGCGGGGTGCGCGAGTGTCGCACAGGGGATTTGTGCGAAGCCGACCTCGGTGTGGTATCCCGAGGTCGGTGTGAAGGATCAGGTGTAGTAGCGTCTTCGCTGTAAACGTGACGAAGCACAGGACGCCAACCAGCTGCGGGCACCTGCGAAGCAGGTGCGCTGCTGTCCTGCGGGTGCAACGCTGTGCAGCCGCCTCGCTGCAGCGTTGGCACGCCGCCGACTTACAGCAATGGCAGACCGCGACTTTGCACTGTTGGAGGGCGGTCAACCTTGTCGTCCTGGAACGCGGTCGACCGTGCTGCGCTGGCAGTCGCCCACCTTGCGTGCTAGCTCTTGATGTAGTCCATCCTTGTTTTGCATTGTGTAACGATTGTTGTCATTCTTTGCTAGTGAAACTCTTGCCAATTTCCCCCGTGAATGACCACGTAGAGTGAAAACAAGCAAACGACTAAGGAACGCAGTGATCACCCCTAACACCTCGAGCCTTCCCCATAATCAAGCTCCCGTTCTGGTAGTTATCTCCGCAAGGACGACCGTGAAATACACATCGGTTTACGAAAACAGGCGCGAATATTATCTTCGCGCCTAGAAACCATGTGAAATGTGGTCGATTACGTGGAAACACGAGAACCTATGCATGCCCCTGTCCACTGGAGGAAAAAAAATCACGAGCGCAGACAGTTTCCCACCAGCCATTGAAGGATTGTCGTTCGCATGTGTATTCTTTAAGTACGTATGCACTTTCACAATTTGTCCACCTATTTTGCAAACGGGGTGGATGTTGCGTGTGGAGACCCCATTCCTTGGTAGCTTTCGTGCACAAGCACATAATGTTGCAAAGTTCATTTTTGTGGCTGCGCGAAAAACAGCATTCACAGGTCAGGACGACCGCGAAATACACATACGGGTGATCATGAGCACAGGCGTGAGTACTAATTTTGCGCCTAGAAACGCTGTGATTTATGGTCTGTCGAAGTGAAAAGCCCCGCCCTTGCTAAGGCGTAGGCGTTCTCTACGACGCCATGGTGAATTCGACGAAAGTGGTCGTCAAATTGGTTTAGACGACCAGCGCGTCCTCTGAAACCTCGGGTGGTTTTCGATGAGGTCGTCTCCTGGTCGGCTAGCCCATCGACGAGCTCTGGTCGACGGGGTGCTGTTCGACGAGCTCGTCCTCTGATCTGCTAGTGAGTCGCGCGATCTTTGACGGGCGGGTTACTTTTCGAGGAGCCCCGGTCACTGACCGAAGGGCGCTGTTCGGCGAGCCTCGTCTCGGCGAACTGGTCGGCTGGATACGCGCGATTCCGAAACTCTGCGAAGGCATGCGAAATTCGCTCAGGTGGTTCTTAGCAAAATTCGACCTGCAGAACGGCATCACCAGGGCCCTCGTTATCAGGGCAAAACATCCTGACAGGATGCAGTTTTGAATTTACCCTGTCATTTCAAAATAGTGCCAATTTTCACCCTGAGGTCCCAGGATGTTTTTATATGCAATGCCCTGAACTCTCAGGATGGCCGTAGTGTTCCCCCCTGTAGCGTCAGGATGAATATCGAGGCCAGCCCTGACGCGTTATTTGGAGGGGTGGGGGGGGAGGGGGGGGGGGGGGGGGGGGGGGGGGGTGTTCCCTCCTCGGGGACTTTTTTCCCCGGGGTTTTTTGTCTCCATTGATTTTTTTCCCCGTGTGTGTTTCCCGCCTTCGCACGATCTCTTTGAGAGTTCTGTTCCGATCCCCCGCAACGCACCAGCCAAGACAAACCCATCAGACTAGGGGGAACAGGTCGGGCAAGGCAACTCGTCGTGTGGCATGCATGCACTAGCTGGG